TTTTTAAATTCTTGTGTATCTTCTATTGTATACATCATTGGTCTTACTCTTAATATAACATTTTCTATTAATTCTATTTTGGCCTTTGGGTGATGTGGTTTCCAAAATAATAATGATTTTCTCCATAAACTTTTTCTAGTTTTTCAATGATTTTTTCTATATTCACTTCTATTCCTGTTTTTATAACCTTTTTTATAAAATATTCTTTTATTTTTTATTTCATTAAATATAATTAGTTTTTCTTCCATTTATCACCACGCTGGACTGGCTGAACTCTGTAAGGTTTAAATTCTCTAGGAATTTTTAATAAGTGTCCACAAGGTGTTTGTAACATTATCATATAATTATTTTGTTTATAATATTGAAATTGTTGTATGAAATCATTTCCTAATAATATATCACATTCTAATTTATCATATTTATAAATTTTATTTATTGTTTCTTGTTTACTTCCAAGAATTATATTAACTTTACTAGCACTATTAATTATTTGAGTATTTTCTCCTGTAACTCCAATTATTTTTATATTACTATTATTATTCCATGATTTTATTAAAAAACTTTTAAATATTGTCATATTACTTCCTATATCTATTAAACCACTAGTTGTTATATTTGTTTCTACTATAGTAATTTGTATATACACAGGTAATGAAAAACTTATTTGATTATTCATCTAATTCTTTTTATATAATGTAATTTGTCCATTATGAACAATATATAATCTTTCTCTTTTTATACTAGAATCTTCTAATCCATTTAGAAAACTCATTTCTAAAAGTATATAAGGATTTATATCCATACTTTTATCTATGTAATATGGTACTAAAAGATCTATTCCTCCTATTTTTATTGGTACCTTAACTTCTAAATCTGTTATATGTACTTGTCCATCAAAATTTATATACTTATATGACTCAATTTTATGAGTTATTAGGCCTTTATTTTTAATCAAAGCTATATGACATTCACTAGTTCCTGTATCTATTAATATATTTGATCCATTTATATTTTCTCTTCCATTATAATATTCTCCTTCTATTTTCATATTTCCAGCATTCCTATACAATTTTACCTCTTTTATTTTGTTGATTTCTTTTAACTGATTTTTATTAGGTATTTTAAAACTTTTTTATCTTTTAATTAATTCTTCGTCCTTATATATAATATTATTAGAACATTCTCCTTTATTTAATTCTGTTATTTCAGGTTTATTTTTTGTTATATTAGATTCATATTCCTCTGAAATTAAACTTATTTGTTTATTTGGTTCTATTATTTTACTAATATCTTTACGTTCTTTATGAATTTCAATATATGGTTTATTGGAATAAATATTCTCATAATTAGAATTAGTAAATGTATATATAGCTCTATATTCTATAGTCATAATCACCTGGTTGCATGATATCATCCCTATGAAATTTAAAATGTAGTCCTAAAATTTCATTAAAATTTCTATCTTTTAGTAATACACAATATTTTGGATAACATGTAAACATAATTTTTTGATATGCTAAATTTTTTTCTATTGTTCGTAAATGACTATCTTTTAAATTTATTTTTCTTCTATCATGTAAAGTTATGGTTAAGGGTGAATCTATCACTTCTCTAAATAGTGATTTAAACATTATTTGTATTCCTACTAAATAAACATATTGGATTTTTTCGCTTTGTTTTTACTAACCTTTGTTAATAGTTCGTCAACTGTATTTTTTGTTAAAAAATTTAATTTGTGTTGCCCATAAATTGTTCTTACATGTATGATTTTTTATATTTTGTGATATTTATTTACTACCATTCTTTCTCTTTTCCAAATTCTATCAAAAACTTCCCATTTTCATATTTTAAGTCTAACGATAATTTTTGTAATTTTCTAAACTTGTTATTATCAAAAGTGACTTTTAATCCATATCCTTCTATTCCTTCGTATTCTTGTATATTTATGTTATTACTTTCTATTTCTTCAATTTCTTTATTTAGACCCTGATTCATCCTCTGTTTCACTTATATTATAATATT